AACAGTAAGTAAAAATAACTTCACAGCCTCAAATACATTTATTGTGGAGATTAGCTCTCTATGCACCCTACGATCTATACCATTCAGAGAGCTTAAAACAAAAATGAATTTCAGATCGAAGACACCACAATCAGTGCCCAGTGGATCTGTGAGCGAGTGTTCTGAGTGGTCCATGGATGGCCAACCAACTTTCAAAGAGTGAGTAAAAATAAATTCACTGCCTCAAATTAATTATGGCGACAAACTCTCTTTACACGTTGTGATCTAAAAACCTTTCTCTGAAAAGTAGGTACTTTTCCTCAAGTAAGGTTTTTCATGTTTGTGAGACAAGGAAGTCATCAATGGACCTGCCTCTTCATTTAAAGGGGACCTATCATGCAAAATGCACTTTTGTACGTCTTTTATACATGAATATGTGTCCCCGGTGTTCCAGGGAACTCACCAAGTGTCAGAAAACACAACCCTCTCTATTTTCCTCCATACCCAAATCTCTAAAAAAGGGGCTGCAACGGATCTGATAAAAACTGATCCAGATTTGAACACTTTACTGACGTCAGTAAAGTGGCGCTACGGCTATTGGGCCAACTCTCCACCTATCAGGGGAATGTGGGGTTGGGCCACGGCCGGCCATTGCCGCTCGAGACGCTGTAGTACATATGCCAGGCCTGTAAGTGGCGCTGTAGTCTGCCACAAAAGCAGCGAAGAAGACTTCCCGCCCATGGTTACCCTTCTGTTTATTCTCCGCTGTGGCTTTTTTCTCCCTCCCCGAGGCAAGCGTTTGCTCCCGCTGCTTTAATTCAATGCAATCCCTCCCCGTCGAGGCAAGCACTGTAATTCTCTCTGGTTAGTCCACCAGCAGATGACAAACACCCACCAAGGAACGAGGGGACCGTGCGGCAGAGTTTCAGTTTCAATTTCTTTCTCCGGTCAAGATGTCCGTTAAAGTTTAAATCTTCCGGACAAAATTAGAAAAATGCCGGTCAAAGGTCTTCTTTGTTATTTATTGAGCTTTAAAACAAATGAATAACGACTCTATAGGCTTATAATAATATAATAAAACACGGAGGACGGAGATCTTTTTTTCGCCCCCTCTTGACTTGATCAGAGCACGGCTCCCCTCTCCTGCAGGGGGGCGTGGTTAGCTGCAGCTCACAGAATCAAAAAATCTGCGCTGGAATTGCGGGAGGAAGTTGGGGTCAAATTTAGTAATTTCATTAATTTGCTTTAATTTGCTTTTTATATTTTAAGTAGGGCTGTCAGTCGATTAAAATATGTAATTAATCGCACATTTTTTATCTGTTCTAAATGTACCTTAGAGGGATATTTTTCAAGTTTTTAATACTCTTATCAACATATGAGTGGACAAATATGCTTTATATGTTTGTTTATTATCATTTGAACAATGACTAATATTCTCATGAATATTAAACACAACAACCTCTGAACATTACAAATATTCGCCTCAATTCAACCTGGAACCTCTCTCATACAATAATACAATACAAAGTGTGTGTGTGTGTGTGTGTGTGTGTGTGTGTGTGTGTGTGTGTGTGTGTGTGTGTGTGTGTGTGTGTGTGTGTGTGTGTGTGTGAGAATGTGGAGACACTGTGATGGATCGTTGGAGCTATGTGCAGCTCAAGCCATATATGCTCGAACGGGAGCTGCCTGGACGCTGCAATCACGTTGCGCGCACTATCCGTGCTGAGTGTGCTGACTTTTCGTACAATGTCCCACTGTCTGGCTTCCTGCATAAAGTCAAGTGCTCGGCGCAGTTGTCGGCGAAATGTCGCTCCTCTGTTTTCATTGAAACAGCTCCTTATATCCGTTAGCGTAGTTAGCTAGCACCAGATGCTAACAACAACAACAACAACACGTAAGGTGTGCCTCGCTCGCGCCACACATACACACACCCTCCCGGTCCTCCCGATGGCCAGTCCGGGCCTGCCGGTGAGTGTGGAAGTGTGGTCTGCCACAAGCGGGCGGCAGGAGCGGGGCTGTCAGCATCAGCTTGTAGATGGTATTTTAAACTCGATGCGCTCTGAAACTACGGGGCGGCCGAGGACAAAAAATACACATGCGTTAATCGCGTTAAAATAATTAGTGGCGTACATTTTTTTTTAAAGTTTAACGCGTTAACTTGACAGCCCTAATTTGAAGGTTTCCATATTAATTGCAGGGGTTAACATGTTAATGTTCCCAGCCCTAGTTTCCACCTGCACAACATCATCTTTTCAAAAAGTTATGAAATGTCTCAGTGAGTACTTGGATCATCTTAATATAAACTACACTGAATCTTGATAAACAGAATGCCCTGAAAGTTTCACTTAAACTTTGTTCCAAGTGCATGGATGGCCAACCAACTTTCAAAGAGTGAGTAAAAATAAATTCACAGCCTCACATTTGCTTCACACGTTTTGATGAACTCTTCATGTAGTAGGTACTTTTGCTCAAGTAAGGTTTTTGTTCATATGTGTGTTTTTCTACATATAAAACATATTCTTGATAAGCAGAATACTATGAGAGTTCAGTTTAACTCTCATGCCAGTAACTGGCATGACATACAATAAGTGTCAGTTTAACAGCAAATATTACAATTGTAATGCCTTTCAGGGGGGGCGTGAAGTAAAAGTCAAGTCAGTCAAAGTCAACTTTATTGTCAATCTCAAAATATGTTTGTACACACAGAAAGATCAAAATACTGTTTCCCACAGTCCCGAGGTATACAATAACACATTAAAATATAAGAACACTCAATAATTACAAAAAAAACACAAAAATAACCGTTTACTTCAAGTAAGCAGGATATATATAAAAAATATGGTGTACATAGTGCAAATGAGAGTGCAAAAATGTGAGTGCAAAAATGTCCATAGCAGTGTAAAAGTGACTGGTGCTGGATTTGTTGTGTCTGTGTGTGTGGGGGGGTGTTAAAGTCCTGGTCCAGTGTGGGCAGGGTGGAGAGGTGGGAGAGAGGGGAAGAGTCTACTGTCTGTCTTCCATAAAAAAGAATTGTCAGGAGTGTCTGCTGACTCCACGTACAAGAAGGAGGAGGGCAAAATGTACAGAACTGTCACAAGACATTTTGATTTCAACTATTAGTAATTTGCAAGTTAACAGGGCAAGGCATATTTAAAAGTTGAAATCATGTGATTAAATGTGTCAAAAAGAAACTACTAGAAACGTTTATTTGATGTGGATTTTGGTAGCCCCTACCAACCAAAGCGGGAGTTTTGCAGTTAACAGTAAGCCATTCGTTCCTTCTATCCCAGATCCTACCTCAAGTTCCAGGTAGCGAAACACATTGAAGTCATGCACACTCAAAAGCTCATCAATGTGTGTGACAAAGCCGAGGGGAATAGCTTCGACAGGAGTACTCAGATGCAGATCTGCAGCTTGAATGCAACGGTGAACATAACACGTGTAAATGAGGCAAAAATATCCTGTAATTGTGAAATGCTGCAATTTTTTATTAACACTATTTTATTTTACAGATATCTCGTGGTAAGGAACGCCGAAACTCTGCACAATCTACAGGTGAGTAAATACTACAGAAGTAAACACTAGTACCTTTGTCTTTTACAAAAATCTTCCATTTTATTTTGAAATGTACTGCACCTGGAAAAAAACGAAACAGTTTTGTGCTGAATGTTGTGGATAGATTTTATGATAGGTTTGACAAAGGGTAAGGCAAAGGTATAAACCATAACATGTTGTGCTCTTGACATTATTTCTATATCTTGTTATTTTCCACCCAAAATGTTCACATCTTTACAAAAAATAAAGATTATTATTAAATGACTAAACATAGAACTTGGGTTACAATACTTAACCTTATTCCAGTTATAACTCACACAGACGCCACCCTCTAATGGGTACAGTGGGCGGAGCCCCAACAAATGTACGCCCACCTCAAAACATGGACCCACCATACTCATCCTGACCAGCGCTATTTCATTGATCAATTACTCCAGCGTGTCTGTCATGCAGCAGCGAAGGTACAGGCTGTCTGCAGAAGGCTGTATGCGCCAGTATAAAATGTCTCTGACCCCTCAGAAAAATCCCCTAGCCCTGCAATCGGGGCTCTCATCTTCTGGTATTTTTTGCCAGGACACCTTGATACACTTGTCGAGGAGCAAAGGCAAAACCAAAGCAGGTTGAGCAAGGCGAGCAGGGCCGTGAAAACCTTACCTGCTTTACAAACCTCAGGAAGTTATCCCACAGATTTTTGGCTGGGACGCAGAGATAAGGTTCTTGCAGTGGTGACGCCATCCTCTATCAAGAGTAAAAGGAAAGCGGCAAAGCTGCCATATTGGATGGTCTTTATGTATGTGGGTAGGCTTGTCCTGACTGGCAGGCAACGTTTATGCAAATGTGAGGGACCGAATGCGTGCGTGTGATGGGAGAAGAGTATTTCCCATAGAGCAGAGGATGGAGCCTGTGTGAGTTAAAAATGTTTCACAGTTTATCATGTTTGGATATAAGGTGTAACATGAATCACACAAACTATTTCTTGTGCTTTCTTATGATTGCCAGTGGTGCCCCCTCCTGGTAAAATAGAGTTCCAGTCAGTGACAACAGACTCTGTGATCCTGAGCTGGGGAGTGCCAAAGGGACTGAAGGGGCCCAAGATCTTCAGAGTAATGTGGAGTAAAGGGGGTTGGAGCAACGCTAGAAAACTGGAGGGTTACAAGGTCGTCAAAGATAATAATCAAGTTGTAATAAACGATCTTGAACTTGGACAGCAATATTTATTCAGTGTGGCCACAGAAGACAAGGATGGTAATTTAAGTGAATCGGTCCAGGAATTTCTTTCCACAGAATATAGAGAAGGTAAGACATTTCATATTTATTTCATGTAATGTGTGCATATTACCATTTTATTTACTAATTTACTGTCAAATTATGGCTTTCTTGCAGCAGTGCCATTCCCTCGACACCCAACAGCAAAAGTACATATAGATGCAACGGCTGTGTCCTTGAAACGGAGTCAAGGCAAAGAGATGCAAGCGATACGCACAGAAGAGTACTCAGATTTAGAGCCAGAGACAGAATACATCACAAATGTTAGGTCCAGTGAGCCGAACACAGGTAAGAGTTTTAAAGAACAGATTGCAACATGCCAACCGTTGTCATCCATACTGCTGACTTTTCATAATTTATATACAAATACATATATATATATATATATATATATATATATATTTATATAATATATTTCAATAAATGAGAATAATATATTTTATATTGTATTTGAAAATATACTTTCATTATACAAGAAAAAGTAGGTTTTGAATAAGTACAAGTGAGCACAGTTTTTGTCAAATTTGACCAACTTTACTTCCTATTTGTGTTTCTATAATTTTTTTACTTTTCTCTATTGTAAGCAAAGTATATACCTCATTGCTTTCCTGAGTTAAAATAAAGGTCATAGGAAAAGAGTGGAATCTAATGACGGGCACAGTGTTACATATAAAACATATGTTTATATGGCACTTAAAGATATGGGCATAGAAGTAAGCATTGTTATTGGGTGGAATGCAATACAAAAATCCTTCATTTGGTAAAGCATTAACTGATCTGAAAAAAACCTAAAGAGTTCCGTGCAAGGTGTGGCCGAAAGTTTTGTCTCAAAGAAAAGAGTTTATGACGGGGCAGGGCAAAGGTATTAACCATCAAATGTTTTATGTTTTGTTGTAATGTGTGTTGTGCTGTTTATCTTGGTATTATTCACAACATATTTGTATACCTCCAGAGCCACTTAGTAAAAAACACAGACTCTAATAACCTGTGGATTATATTGCTGGTGAATGATTCACTTTTACTGTAAACTGGTGATAAGGGCCGGCTGTGACTCAGTAGGTAGAGCAGGTCCTTATAAGTACATGAGAGGTTCACTCACATAAAATTACTCCTGAAGGTGTGTCTGGATGGGTAAAGGTTGGAATGTAGTGTAGATTTAAGTAAGTAAAGTACAATTATGAAAATAAAATGATACAGGAATACAAGCTTTCTGAGGAATATGCTTGAGAAGATGATGTTTAAAAAGCAGCGATAGATTAGCAAACTTCCAGAGTTGGGGAAGCCAAGCATTAAAAAACATTGAGTGAAATTGTAAGGAGGGGGGAGGGGTATACTTTATGGAGAGTGCAAGGGTTCTTTTAAATCAGGTAGAAAGCAAAACTGGGTAATCAAGGAGCCAATTACTAAAGTGTAAGTTTTTAACAAAATCATGTATTCAGGAGCACATACAAACTTTACTAAGAAACAAAAATCAGAGCTGTCTAAAATACAATTTCCTGCTGTGTTCTGCTGTGTTCTGCTGTGTTCTGCCTCCCTCAGTCTCTCCCAGTCTCAGTCAGTCTCAATCAGCATGGCAGAAGGGGTTAAAATCCAATCCAAACATTTCAAAAATAAAAGCATGCAGCAGGAAGTAAAACCAGTTAAAAAGCAAACACATTTCAGAGTAAAAGCACACAATAAAAAAGGTGCCTGTTAAGCCCGATTTCCCCCGCCGACGGGGGCAAACACAGAAATATTCACAAAACTGTGTCTCAGGGCTTCTTAACATTTAACAACCTTTTAATGTGTCATACATAACATTTATGGCAATAAACTTATTTTTCATTAAAGTGTAACGGAGCTTTTGCTTTTGGGAAAACTGCGTGCGCATCACTCTCACTCCTCAATGGTAATGTTTAGATGGATTTAGGAACCCCCCCCTAGATTTTATTGGCTCTAATGGTTCAAAAGAGGTGTCAATCATCAAAATCGACCAATGGGTTCCAGAGATACGGCGAATACACCCAAATGTACCCAGAGGTGGGTTTTCTTTTCTAAACCTCTCTAAAAAGGTCAAATTTAACTTGTTTTGCATTAATCTTGATACAGGGTACTTATTATATGTTATAGTTTGGATTCCTAAAGGTTTTTGTCTACTATCCCATCATTCAAGGGTGGTTTTCACTATAAGTAATGGGTTTTTTTTTGGACGGAAAGTATAATTTACATTTTTTTACTATGTTCAATCGGAATTTACTTTAAAATAAAAAAATAGGCTCAGGGCTTAACAGGTTAATTGTTCATTATTGCATGGTTTTTAACCTGTTAAGCCCTGAGCCTGTTTTTCAGGTCTCAGGCTCGAAAATGACATTCCCAGAACAAATTACCATATCTTCCCTTCTAAAAGGGTTAAATTAATAATCTTTTTTCTCAAAGTAATGATAAACCTGTGAGTTGGATGTAGAAAAGTCAGAATCAATATAGATGTTTTTTATTTTAAAGAAAACTCAGATTTTACATAGTAAAAAACTGTAAATTATAGTGTCCGTCCAAAAATTCTTTTTTTACTTATAGTGAAAATCACCCTTGGATGATGGTAAGGTAGACTAAAAGCTTTAGGAATCCAAAGTACAACATATAATAAGTACCCTGTATCAAGATTGATGCAACACAAGTGACATTTGACCTTTTTTGAGAGATTTAGCAAAAAGAAACCACTTCTGGGGTCATTTGGGTGGATTTTCCATATCTCTGGCTTCCCTTGCTCGATTTTGATGGTTGACACCTCTTTCTGACCATTAGAGCCAATAGAATTGAAGGGGGAGTCCCCCACACACACTCATTGTGAAGAGAAAAGGTGGGGGCTTCGCGCATGTAATTTTCCATCAGAGTGAACCTATCTCTAGCTTTAACATCTGGAAACAGAAAAGCAGTTTTAATACTTATGGATTATCAGAAATCATTTCAAAGGGACACAGACACATTGGATTAACCTATGGATTAACTTCAGTAGCGTTTTTATCATTTTAATGCCATTGAAGACCACTTTGGAGAGACTACAGAGCCAAGGTAAAAATGTTAGCATTTTTAGCTACCTAGCGTCACCTGTTTTGATGTCCGTTTTTGCTTATAACGTCGCCATTTCGTATAATTCAGTGGTAATGTGGGTGATATGGTGAAAAGATAAATAATAAGGTTTTGTGAGTGATTTTCGGTGCAGTAAGGTGTTAGCATTTTTCGCTCGTTGCTAATTCAGAGGCTCAGTGTTAGCATTGTGGGTTTTCTTTTGAAAAAAAAAAAAAATGATCAGTTAGATGAGTTTCTTCCCGTTACATGGATATAAAACATTCATAGTTTTATTAAATGAACATGCCCTCTGACACTGTTTCCTGCAAGATGTTGCGGCAGTGTCCCGGTACCGGGGTCTCTCGGGCTTAACAGGTTAAAAATACATTGCCATGTGACAAAAGTCTTCCTGTGACAAAAAGTTTGACAACATGATGTTTGGGTATAAGGTCTATCATGACATGTTCACTAATGACTCCTTTTACTCTCTTGTCTTTGCCAGTGGTGCCCCCTCCTGGTAAGATAATGTTGTCTTCAGTGGAAATAAACTCTCTGGTCCTGAGCTGGGAACTGCCGAAGGGACTAAAGGGGCCTAAAAACTTCATAGTAAAGTGGACTAAAGGAGAGTGGATCCACGGAAGAGAGCTGGAAGGTTACTCTGTCGTCAAAGATGCTCATCAATTTGAAATAAACGACCTTGAGCTTGGACAGCGGTATATATTCAGTGTGGCCACAGACAAGGATGGTAATTTAAGTGAATGGGTTGAGAACTTTGTTTTCACAGGTAAACATTTGAGATGACAACCCATTAAATATCTTTACACTGGAGTGTGTGCATGAAAAATAATGTATTTTCAAATGACTACTCTGTTACAGCGGTGCCAGCCCCTCGGCTCTTAACCAAAACACATTCAGAGGCCAGCGCCGTGACCTTGAAATGGACCAAAGGGGAAAACATGGAGGGAATTAAACATCAGTTCATTATAACCCTCAAAAGTCAGGGAAAAGAGCCACTAGCGATACAGACAAAAGAGTGCTTCAAGACAATCTCTAATTTAGAGCCAGGGACGGAATACACCATCGAAGTCTCGACAATGCTGATCGACAGGTGCAATGAGCCTGTCTCTACAACGATACTCACAGGTGAGGGCTTATATCCCCTGCTTTTTATTTTAAAATCACACTGCTCATACTAACATGCTAACTGTTCATAAGTGCAAGATAATTATATGAGAGAGAGTGGGGGAAAATAAACAAAAGGTGTTTAAGAATAAAACACATTTTGAATTAGAATAAATTGCTCGATCCATGGATAAGTTCTGAGACTAACTGATCTTAATAAATATTTAGTCAAAGTTTGTATGGAATTCCTCTTTAACTAATAGATATAGAACAAAATGTGACATCCTCATTCATCTATCTCTTCATGTTGATCCACAGAGGCCTGTTTCAGGAAGGTGCTGTCAAAGATGGGCCTTGAAGACTATTATGATGACAAGCTCACACTAAGCACTGTTCTTGAGATCAATCAAAGTGATACATCAGAGAGCAAACTTGAAAGCCCAAAGTCATATCCTGAGGCTTTTTTGAGGAAACTCATGATGTTAAACGCAAATGCTCGAAGTGTTAAATGTGTGTCCAAAGATGTTGACACAGACAAGCAAAACACCATCAATCCGTTGGACCTGATAACTGCGTTGTTTCTCTGTTCCGACGGATTTCTTCAACAAGACATGGTTGTGAAAATGGCACTGTGCCAGTTCGCGGTCCCGCTCCTCATGCCCAACCATGACACAAGAGAAATCACCATGATGCTGTGGGCTATGCGCGAAATAGTTCGGACCTTCAGCCCCTCCAAACTGGCATTCAGAAACTTAAGCTGTGAAGAAAGAATTGTGCTCACTGATATTCCTCTGCTGTCGTTCGTCAGGCTGGGGAGGACGAGCCTGTCCAAATCTCAGGTGCTGAACAAACTGCTCAGCAACACTAAGGAGTGTTATGATATATTTTATAATCGTAACATGGAGGGTGGTGATGTACCCAGGCAGATTTCTGAGGGGCTAGTTGAAATGACCTGGTACCTCCCGTGTGGGAAAAAAAACACAGACAAATTCACTGAGCCGCTGGCCGTCGCCAACCTCAGAGGAGACATCAGGGACTTCGACAAGCAGTTCTCATTCCTCTGCCAGACCTCTGCAGCTGTGTACTGTACATCTTCTGTGATGAGTCAGAAATGGATTACTTCAAGCATTTGGAAGGGATGGTTGTGGAAGCCAGGTTGCTTTTGATAAGCAGCATACAGGGGAAAAGCTTCACACTCAAAACGATGACAATCAAACCTAGTTTAAAGACAACTACTGTGAGCCAGAGGAAAAATACGGAGTCAGAACTGGTAAAGGCCCTCCAGGAATCAATCCCTAAGATGCTTGGAAACTGCCCAGTCAAAGTGTCGATGGAAAATTTGGCAGACACAGCTCGCCGCTGTGATATCTTGGTTGATGAGGACATTGATGAATGCCAGGGTGTTAGGAAGAATGCAGATAACATCATCCAACACATCGCTAACACCTCTATGTTCAAAGAAAAACAACTACCTTCCCAGGGACACATCTGGAAAGAGCTTTCATTGCTCAAAACGGAGTACTGGAGACTGCGAAACGCTGGCAATGAAAACATTGAGGACTACCGCAAGTCTTTGAAAATAACAGAAAAAGATCTTAAAACTCACCAGCAAAGATTAGAGATAAGCTCTGCAATGCTTAGATTCTTTCAAGGGGTGGCCTCAGAAGTGCAACGCTACTATTTCCTCAAATGGCTGGAAATGGATTTGGACAATCTGTCCCGAAATGAACTGTCAGATCTGAAAGATAGATATAAAGAGCTAAGGGAAAAATGTCCTGAAGACACAGAAAAGATTGCAGAGATTGATCAGAAAATATCAGCTTGTTCTTTACGCCTTGAGCACTTTTTACGAGAGTGTGGCCAGCTGTTCCAATGTGTGAATCACCTGCCAGAATTCAGCAGTCAAAGAAAGACCTTGGAACAACTTCCTGAACTCTGTGCTCAGATGCTGCTAGATGGTTTCCCTCTTGAGCTCGTTGATGGAGATGTTGCAAACATTCCGTTGAAATGGATCACTGAGGTGCTAAGGGAGCTTCACAAGTCTATGCATTCCAAAAGTAAGCTGAAAGTCATCACAATCATTGGAGCTGAGAACTCAGGAAAATCGACTCTGCTAAACACCATGTTTGGGGTCAGGTTTGCAGTCAGCAAAGGCACATGCACCAGAGGGGCGTTCATCCACCTGATCAATGTCAACGAACACGTCAGGAGGAAACTGGAGTGCGACTGCATCATGATAATTGACACAGAGGGACTGAAACCACATCAGATTGTCCAAGATGATCACAGCCATGAACGTGACATAGAAGTAGCGAGCCTCGCTGTAGCACTTAGTGACGCCACAATCGTCACTGTTTCCATTGACAACTCAAAAGAGAAAGATCTCTTAGAAATGGTGCTTCATGCTTTCACGAGGTTGAAGAATGTGGGCAAGAAGCCACTCTGTCATTTTGTGCACACCAACATGTCAGAAAGTCCTGCTGTAGAGAGGAAGAAGAGAGGTAAAGAGTTGGTGAAACAGCTCAATGAAGTGATCCGAAAGGACACTAGGATGAGGAAGGCCAAAATCACTAAGTGCTCAGATGTGATGGAGTTTGATCAAGACACTTTCAGTTGGTACATGCCTCCGGTTTGGAACGGGACTCCACCTATGGCACCTTTCAGTGTTGACTACAGTGAGACGGCACATGCTTTGAAAAAGAGACTCATAGGGGACCTCAAAAAGTGCCAGGGAAGAGGTGATCTGATGCAATTTATCAGCGATGTGGATAGATTCTGGAAAGGTTTGTGAGGCAGGAAAAGATGGCAAAGGGAAAATGCAGTTATTTCCCTGGAGCATGTTTTAATTTTATTTAAAAAAAAAAGAGAAAATAAAAGATTACTGAGCAATATAAACTAATTTATTGTCACTCTTATTCATTGTTAATACATTAAAATGTATAATGCATTTCTTAAAATATCTGACACTGTACAAACATTAAACATGTATATAGTTGCAGAAAATAAGCAAGTACTACTTTGTGACATTCTGTATATTCATTTTCGCCTGAACAAAGAAACAGGACCTGTGACAGGTGTGTAGACCAAAAAGAACAATCCTGTTATTGTTATCAAATTTGTATCAAAAAGATAGTTGACACTGAATATACAACATCTGCAAGATTTATTTGCAGATATAGGTTGTATCGTATCAAAAGTCCTGAATAAAAGTTTTGCTATGTATTTTTGAGGCTGTTTGTGCAATAAAGTGTATAAATAATCCAATGTTACTTTTGCCTTCTACACTACAATATTCAACAGTAATGACAGTCACAATGTTATGAATGGAAGAGCTTAGATAGTACATTTGTGATAAGTGATAATAAATACTTAAGATTCACGCAGGTTATATAGTAAACTGCATGTTTAAAGGGCCAGTTCACCCAAATTACAAAAAGAAAACATCCTCGGAAATCTCAACAGGCCAACTGAACACCTAAAGTAACTTCTCTTCTAATTTTAACTTGATTGATTGAATACTGTGTGTAAACTGACAAATCAGGTAACTTCTCTTATGTACTGCAAACCAAATTGTTGCTCGTATGGTATTCACAGTTCAAATACATTCAAATTTAAATCCACTTCTAAAGAGAAGCTTTGAGCAACCATCTGCTGAATTATCACTTTACAATCTCTTAGTACATGTTAAATAAATTATACATTATTACATTCATACAACAGTTACACATTAAATGCATTCTCTTATACTTGAGAGATGTTGAATTAACGGAAAACTACAAACACCAATAAGGTGTGGTGTTATTGTTGAAGGGAAGGGAGTATGGCTTTTAAATACATACTTTCTTCAATACTCCATTTCTGTATTTAGTTAGCCTGAATACCAAAGCAAATTCGTGAACATACTTGGCCATAAACTTGATTCTAAATCTGATCTTATTAGCCTGATTGAAAAACAAGCTGAGTGGTGAGTACCACATAAAACAATTTTTTTCCCTTTTATATTTTTCTTTCTGAAATCACATACCTTCGAAGTCCACCTCTCCGTCCCCATTGAGGTCAACATCTCGCAGGATCTCGTCTATCTCGCGGTGGTTCAGCTGCTCCCCCATTAGCTTTTTCATGGCTTCCCTCAGCTCTCCGAGGCTGATCTGACCATCACCATCAGAGTCAAACTGGGAAATAAAAAAAAGGAGTATGAAACATTGAAAGCACATACAAATAAATGCATTACAGTTGAAACAAGTTAAAGTTTGTGAAAGGGGGTGATCTTTTTGTTACAAATTGTCTGGCAGACCTCTTTGAAGGCATCCCTCAGCTCCTTGACTCCAATCATGTCTGCTGTCTCAGCGAGCATTTTAGGACCCATCAGTTCCACAAAGTCTTCGAAGTCCACTCTGCCGCCACCTTAGGGGGTAGAAAACAAGTAGGCAAGAAATGTTCAGGCTTTTCTCATTCACTGTAGGGAGATATACCTACAAAATAAAGGCACTTTATTTATTGCAACTCACGTAATCAATTTGTAACCCACATGTCAATACAAAAGTCAAGTTACGTAGTATAGAGAGCAACAAGGATCGCAAGAAAAATGCAGGTATGGACATGATAAAAAAAAAACCTGACTTTCAGCCAGGAGTCTGACTGTTTAGTACCTTAGTTAAGTATTGTGTGGCAGTGTTGGGCCGTCAGCGCCAGCAAGGCCTATACACTATCAGAATCACTGACTAACCTTTTAATATAATATTTTAATTAACCAGTGGCGAGCCGTGACTTTTATACCTAGGCCCTCTGACCCCCACCTTCCCTCAAAAAAAATAAAATAAAAGAGTTATTACGTCACAACGTATACTTCAGCGGAATAACAAAACAACGGCCCGGGGTGCAAAACGCATCAATGACAGCAACCCTTTACCACACAAAACAACACCTGTAAATAACCCAATTTGTGTTCTTTGAAATTGAAAAGGATATTGCATTGTGTTTGTTACTTTCGTTGCAGTTGTTTATATGTCTTAAAGGTGGGGTAGGTAATTCACTTCAGAAACACTTTTTGTTATATTCCATGGAATGCTCTTAACATCCCGATAGCAATGAATACATTAAATGCTTTGACAATAAATACATAAAAAAATGTCATCTGTGGAAGCCGTGGCGCTTTAAAAAGCACGACCAATTATTTTAGCCGGCCCGGCTCAAATAACTGGATGGCCTACCTGCCTGTCAGCCTTCCATCTCGTGCACAAACTTATCTCGTGCCCTCATTAGTCATGTGCGCGTTCGTGTGTGTTGGAGGAGGGGCTCTGTAAGGAAGTCTGAAGGAAGGGGAAGATTTTTTTCGGCTGCGTACTTTCAAATTCTAGCGCACTCGAGCTTGTTTCTCCATTCTTACCTACCCTACCTTTAAGTGTAATTTGGCTTTGCTTCCTATTTTTGTATGGACATGCTTTTATTTTTAAGGCGAGTTTGTTGTTGCTGTTGACAGGAAGTTGTTGTTGCTATGGAAACAACGTCACGGAGAAAAGCTTCACAGCGGGCGGAACTTGTCATAAAGTCCGCGATAATAAAACCCACTCATTTAGAGGGCAGATATGATTGGTCAATTGTACTGTCATTTGACATTACTCTCTCGTTGAGTTACTATAGATGGCCCTCTGTGAATTCATAGCTGGACCACCAATCAGCTCCTGTATTCACAGTAACTCGCAGAGACGAGCTTCTTTAATTTAACCATTCACATTCCAACAGAAACGGAATAGGCAGATTTGAAGGATTTATTTCTTTGGGAATGTTATTTTAAATACAATTAAATCAAGTTATTTTGGTAAAACTAATGAAAAATATAACAAAAAAAATATTTAAAAAATATATATTAAAAAGAATATTATTTTTTTTAATGTTTTTAAATATAATTTTGTAGAATATCTTAGGCCCTCACGTTTGCCATTCACGTTCGCCATTCCAGCGGGGCAGATGGAGGAGGATGGCGAGGACTTCTCGTTGGCGGGCACTTCTGGGTCCGGCGTCCATGGAAGTCCACCGCCCAGGTTTGTCCGCCAGGACTTCCCCCTGGTGATGACCATGGCGGCGGAGTGTGTAGTGCTACCACTCCCCCCACCACTGCCGCCGAAACCGGTGAGCCGCCTCCGCCAGGGGTTCTACGGCCTGGTCCGCTCGGCGCAGCCAGCCTTCGTTTCACCCCCGTTGCCAGATCTGGCAGTGTGTGGAGGCGTCGTGGCGACAGCCACTGAAGGCGAAGGCTCCAGTGGCTGGTATGGTGGGGATCCTCAGGGTGCAGGGCCGCACGGACACAGCATGTCCCGGCGTGCCCCCCCTTGATGAGAGCCTGGCAGCCCATCTGCTCCCACAGGCAGCAGGCTGGGCGGAGAACCTCTGCTCCGCTGCCGCGTGACATAATAGCTCCGATTAATGCAGTTCACCGTTAATGTGAAACACAGCGTTAATACGAAGGCGTGCGGCCCCGAGAGAGTGGCCGCGGTGCGTTCAAGGACCTCCACAGAAAATCGGCCTTTTTCATGTCGGTTCCCCATAAGCCAATCTTCCTTTCATGGAAGGTTTGGCGGAGGAGAGGGCCACCAGAGAGTACCACAGCTTCTTAGCTGCGGCTCCACAGCTCTTTGCGTGTCCCCTAAAACACAGTTTTATGGGGAATGGAAGCTCAGCTGTGTACTGACAGAATGGGTGGACAGAATGCTGCGACTGGGTTACTCACTCCAGTTCTGCAGCGTCCCTCCTCCATTCAGGGGTGTAAGAGAGGCAAATCTATCATCCCAGGAGGAGATAGGTTTCCTTTCAACAGAAATTCAGGCCCTGTTGCAAGAACGGTGGCTTACGTATTGTAACCCTAGTTCTAGATTGATGTGTGTGTGAAAAATGCATTCAATAAAAACGATTGCATTTATCCCAGAGTAAGAGTCATCTCTCTCCACAATTCCACATTTCCCCATAATGTCTAGTTGAAATCGGCAAGATCCGTTTCATACGATGTTAACTGGGCACCCATTATGAGACACGATTCCCCACTCGCCGCCCCAGTTGTAAACTCCAGTAAAGGAAGCAGCTAGTGGGCGCGCGCATGTGAGTGTGATAAACCGCAGGAAGTGCTGTCAAAGCGCTATGCGGATGCAGGAACATTATGGCCGGCGTGTTGTCAGAAAACACACCTCGCCTAGTGTAATAGCTCCGATTAATGCATTTCACCGTCTGTGTGAAGACGGCATTATGACGGAGCGCGCGGCCCCGCGAGAGCGTGCCGGCCACCAGAGAGTACCACAGCTTCTTAGCTGCGGCTCCACAGCTGCTTGCATGTCCCCTAACACAGTTTTATGGGGAATGGAAGCTCAGCTGTGTACTGACAGAGTGGATGGACAGGACACTGAAACTGGGTTACTCACTCCAGTTTTTCAGCGTCCCTCCTCCATTCAGGGGCATAAGAGAGGCACATCTATCATCCCAGGAGGAGATAGGTTTCCTTTCAACAGAGATTCAGGCCCTGTTGCAAAAACAGGCAGTGTCTGTTGTGCACTCTCAGGACAGAGAAAAGGGGCTTTACTCTATGTACTTCCTGGTTTCCAAGAAGACAGGAGAATTCAGACCCATTCTGGATCTTCGCATCCTGAATCAGCACATTAGGTGCGTTCACACCGGAGTACTTTGGTGTACTTTTCCCACAATAGTTCATCAGAACTACGATATATTTGCGTTCACACCAAAAAGCCCCAGGAACTAAAGTAGCTCAATTTAGTTCGTCCGACCCGCTTTTCAGTCCCTGCTAGAGAGCAGGGACTGTCGTGGGAGAAA